GATTTCCAGGTGCTGTATCAACAGATTAACCAAGTAACCTTGCACTCAGATTCAGACAATAACAGAGGAGGGAGGAAATTGCAAATATCTTGCTTTCACACTAGGTGGGAATCCAGTGTACTCAGAAAGTAAAAGTTCAGCTACTTCCAAATCACTGCAGTGATTTTTAAATCCAGGATCATTTTAATCTTGTCAAATGTAAATAGACTATTTCAAGTCATACAAATTCATAATCTATTAACTATATACTGGAGATGTTAAAAACTGCTACAATTACAAGACGAGCAAGAGTCATTTAAAGATCCCATGTAGAAAAGGATTAAAAAAATTAAGGGACTTGCAAAGTTTTCCCTAATATAAACAGACTTTACTGCATTAGTTGTCATGACTATGATTTGCAAGTGGACTCGATACTAGTACAAAGAAAAATTTTTCTTTTAAGCATGAGAAAATCACCAGACCAGATGTAACTACATTCTAATCATCACAAAGCAATACTCTTTTAAGAAAAAAAAAAAAAAAAAAAAAAAAACAACACTTTACTGGATCCCTTAACCATGACAAGCTTTTTCAAATTGTCGTGTTTTTTTAAACAATGTCTTTTACCCCTATACATTTTGAAGAGTTACAAACAAAACACACTCCAAAACATCATCTTCTGACATTTGTCTCTTTTTCTCAATATACCATGACGCAAGAAGTTAAAACTAATCGCACCTAACCAGAGAAACGTACCAAGTTTTATCCACATCAATCACTTACCTGAATTTAGGATTTTCCACTGTAACTACACCAACTTCTATTTCTGAAGGTTTGAAATCAATGGATAGTACAGTAGACAAGCATGTTATTGCTGTCTGAAAGATGACAAAAAACCTTATCATTAAACAGAAAGCACTAAGGTGCTTTTTTTAATTGACATAGCATTAACAACTATCCCTCCTTCTAGTTTTAAGTTGTTTCCTTCCACCTCAAAACCTCAGCTGAAAAGTTTAAAACAGTTTCCCCTTGTTGCAGAACACAGTCCCTCTCTGGTCCTCTCCCTAAAAAGCCCAATCTACAAAAAACAAAGGGATACGTCATTTTCACAGCAGAAAAAAAACCCACAACAAAACCAAAACTTTTTATCATGCACAGATTTAAAACCCCAGGTCCCAAGGACAGAACATGTTTCATTAGTGGCAAACAAGACAGACATCATCATGACAGTCTAAGATTACTCAAAGCACGTGTCACTTGCATAGCTTCCATTTTGGCTTTTCTTCTGGTAATTAAAATTACACTGGCTGTTTTTAAAAGCTGCATTTCATCATGGCTTTATTTATTTTTTTTCCACCCTAATCATCACCTGCTGTAAAAGGCATTCTTTGCAACCTCACTCACACTTATCCCTACAGTAGGGTCATAGTAGTGCTGAAGATGTATTCCTAAAATGATGACTGAGCAAAAAAAAGTAGTTCTGTAAAACAGCTATGTAGCTGGATGCTACATGGGAATGCTACAATTACAGATTCTGCTTCAGCTAACCTAAAGCAGAAAAAGCAGATTAGATGACTATTTAAACACTTGCAAAGTATCTTCAAAAGATTTTCTGCTTGGTAATAGCTATACTTGCTCTGGGAGCTCTACAGAACTGTAAGAAAACAGGAAACGCCTAACTGCATTCCTCTATATTGCAAGCCTACATACAGCACATTCATTAAAAACACTTTAACAAATTTGCTTCTGCTGGCCTACCTCTACTGTTTGTTCATATGTCCAGTCAAATTTCTTCTTTACTTTCTTTTCAAGAAAACTGGTTGACTCTGTCTGTTTAACTCCTGCAGCTGTGGCCTTGAATCCACAATAGTAACCTGCCGGATCACACTTGTATACCTGAGGGCCGTGTTCTTCATCGATACCAATCAAAATCATACCTTGAAGAGAAAATTTTTTAATTAATCTCTCTCCCTGATTTTAGCAGTTCCATTCAACTGAAGAACAGAATAGATACTCGTGTCCTGTGAAACGCGTGCATGCACGGCATTGTCGGGAACTAGTCCAATACCTAGAGCTGCGATTCTGTCTTTGTCTCTAATTTGCCATTTCTCACCAGCGTCTCATTACCAGGTGCGCAACTTGGTTTACTGCAAACTAGATTTCCCAAAGAAGGCTACTCATTACACACAGAAACATTTTTGCCATGCTTGGTGTGTAGAAAATGACAAAGTCAGGAAATACGAAAGTTTAATCCCGATACAAAGTTAACCCAGCCACGGTTCACTTCCTGTGTATTGTATGACACTTTAAAAGCATAGTTCTATTAACAGGTGCCTTTTACCAGAAAGCAACTTTACAAATATGTTGAAATTAATGAAAATATTAAAAGATCAACTTTAGATTTCTCGACTGTAATCCTGAAAAGCACTGTATTACATCCCTTCTCCTCTTTTCTTTAAAGGAAAAAAAAAAACCCATCTGAAATGAAATGTGGAAATATCAGAACATAAAACTGAGCCTTTGAAGACCATTTGACTAAGTGCTTTCAAGTTGGACAGACTTCAAGTAACACAAACTGGCCACATCACTGAAATGCATCTGTGTTCACCCACACTTCTAGATTTACAGTTGTATTGTCTCAATATGCATATTAAAAATAACTCAAAAGCAATACTTAAAAAAAAAAACCAACCAAAAAAACCCACCTAAACCCCAGAACAAGGTCAAGATTTTAAATTATTTTCACTTTATACTTGCGTAACTTAACTAGTAATTTTAGCTGATAAGATTCTGAGCAGCTATTATGACAACAATTTTCCCATCATCTCTTAAAAAAAAAGATTAAGGTAAGTTAAGAACAATACATTTTCATTCACGTATTTAAAAAAAAAAAAAAATCACTTTCCAGTAGTATGAAGGCATGGGAAATGCCAAGGGAAGAAAGAAACAATCATTCCTGAACATTACAAGCATAGGAAAATTGCCCCATCATGGAAACTGTGGTGCAACACTGAACGTTACTTCTTTAGTGAGAAGTGCTAGTGCCTACCATGATTACGAGAAGTGATTCATCAATTCTGTAACTATTCTCCTTAAATGAAAAAAAACCAACAACACAAAACCAAACAAACCACCAAGCAAACAAAAAGAAACTCAGACAGAATGCTTAATGAAAGAGTAATTGAGGAAACATCAAGTCATTCATCTCAGTTCCCGGACAGCCTAACAGTACAGTTATAATTTGCTCACAGCTAAATGCAAGAGAAAAAACAAGTCCGACCCAACCTCAGAACGCACAGATGACGAGGAATATCCACAAAACCCAACTTTACGCACATCTTTTTTTTTTACTTAAGCTGCATTTGCTGTTATAAAACAAGACTGGTGTAGAAATGTTTGCAAGTGAAGTATTTTTAAGCCCTTCTTCTCTACATTATGTGTGTCATGGTTAAGAGCAAAAATTATGCAGATTTTTGTCCTATACATACTACTTAGATAAAAAAAGCCACAAAATCAGCACAGGCAGAATTGCACTCTCATGTCTGTTTTAACAGTGATATTTACCCAAACACAGACACCTGTAAGAAGAGCATCTCCCATTCACAGACATCACTGTGCAGTGCAAACAGACTAGACCCCAAAAACTAAGGTGAATAGTATCACACACTTTAAAGAGGCTAAATCATTTACTCCAATTCCAATGCAGTCAATGGCAAAATCATGGCTGTGATTCAAGACTTCCAACACTGCGCTCTCATTCGGCTGTTCATCCCTCTTATTCCTTCAGTTACATCCATATCTCGTGCAATTTGAAAATGGGTGAGAATTTCTTATACTTGAAGTGGCAAGCTTAGACAAGAAACAGAAAAGATTAATTCCATATACTGTACTTACAGCAACCAAGGGGCCTCATTTCAGCATTTTGTGTATAGACCTGAGAAATATCAGCAATCCTTTTACACAGCATATCCACAGGGATGTCATAGCCATACTTGTACTTCCAGTTAGCAGCCTCATAGCGGGCTCTCTGCACCTGGGATCTGCTGTCAGCTAGACAGAAAGAACTACCATTAATTTCACTGAACATTTACCCTGTTTATTCCTAGCACTGCTTGAGAATGCAAAGTCCAGGCCCAACTTTAAGTTGTCTTTAAATAGACACATCAGAATTAGACAAGTCCTCCAAAACCAGACTGAGTGGAACAAATCTCCTAAAGCACTTATTTGTTTTATATGATGCAAAGTTGGTGAACTATATAAAAAAAAATGACACACTTCAGATACTTAAAAAGAGGTGAATTAAATACCTGTCATTCCTGTCATCACACAGCCAATATTTTCAGTAATTCTGAATAAATGAGTCACTGTGTTGGAATCCAGTAACTTGTCCTAAAGAGGAAATAGAAATAAACTAATAGAAAACACTGCCCTTCACGTACAAAAAAGATTGACGCTGGATGCGCTGGTATTTACAGAAGAGCCAAAAAAAAAAAAAAAATCAACCAACAGCTAAAAATTGTCTTTCAGGCTCTCCACTATTTACTGCTATAGGCATGTGAAGGAAGAAATAGCAGCATGGGGAAGATAAAAACCTCAATACCTGGAAAAGGCTGACAGCTAAAGCATGACCAACACCAAAGTCCTTTTCCATCTAAAGAAACTTTGAGCACACACATACAAAAACTTCAACTCTTATTTCATGCTGCCCTTCAAACACAAGGGTTTTCCCCCTTTGTCAACAATACATCACCACTGTGCTGAAACACTCATGAAAATCTGTTCTGTGTGCTACTGATATAACATTTTCTGAGTAGGAATCAAAGAAGTCAGGAACGTGATTATGGACAACTCAGCCTTACAAGCCACAGTAATGTATGCATGCTAAAGTACAGCAGGACCAACTTCATGCTTTATTCTTTTGACAACTACAGAGAAAACCGATATTACAGTACTTGGTGAGGAAATGTACAACTGAGCACTAAACAGAGCAAGAACTTGTAATAAGCAGAACGATCATAAGATATTAAATTGAAGCAGCAATATATGTCAACACTAATTAATATAGTATCACTGTTGCAGAGTCTTACCCTCACCTTTTTTCTAATCTCCTTCCAGCCTCCCCCTCAAAACCAGACTACTTACAGGTACTTTCTTCTGTGTTACAATTACTGCAGAATCTTTCCCACGAACAGCTACAGATGTAAGTCCGCCTTGGTTTATGGCCTTAAAAGCATATTCTAGAAAAATACATAAAAGTTAATAAAAAACAATGTTAAAGATACTAGTACAAATATCTCTGACACACCTCCCCCCATCACAGAAATCTCATCAAGTTCTGGCCTTTTTAATACTTTAATATTGGTGCAATATGTTGTGTCTTTAAGGTCTTTAGTACAATGCACACAAGAACTTTCTGATGGAATTAAGTCATTGACTCTCTTCACAAAAGCACTAGCACTGCTTCCTTCAAATATTTCTAATAATTTGCCTTTTTGTTCAGGTAGAATGCTTAACACCAACAGAATTTGTTTTAAAACAACAAGGCTATTCTGCACTTGACCAAAACAGTCCAAACTTAACCTACAGTAACTGTAAACCCTTAAATAAAATTTGTTTAACATGCAGAAGTTTAGTGTTTCAAGCATTGTTACCACTGCAAAGATGTAATTTTCTTTTGCAGATTTTAATTGATACAGATGAAAAGTGAAATGATGGACCAGGCACAGAAGATGGGTTTTAACATTACTATCACATTTTCTGACCTGACATTTAAACACCACAATGCTTTTATTAACTTTTTAAAATAAAACTTTTGCATGTGCCAACTAAACAGCATGATTCAGATAAACGTAACAGATTAAGATTTACTTGATATGATCCATGAAATAAACTTCCCTTGATTAATTGTTTCAAAAGCCTCAAGAACAACAACTTTAAAAATCATTTATCTTGCAATATCTGATAAACATTCAGAACTTCCTAATATCTGGTTGGGAGAGGGAACGCTGAGACACTAGCAAAATGTAGATGAGTTTTTTGTTAGCTGTGTGATTAAGACTGGAATTTAGAACATGTCTAAAAAACAGCACAGCAAATTGCTAAAACTATCTTCTAAAATAATGGGACCAAGAAACTCTGCTATTGTAAAAGCTGCATTCAAATCTGTGGAAGAGACTGCACAACAGGAGAGGAATAATCTGAAAATGAAAAGACACATTTTGCAATACTAGGATCTTGAAGTTCTATCTGCTGAGTCAGTGCTGTGGAAGGGCTGACTGCCATGTATTTATTACGCTCAGGCATCAGAACATTTGCTGGTTACCTGAACATGCCATAATGAATGTTCCCTCTTTCTCTCCGCTAGATGCACAACTTCACTCACCTCTTCACTTACCTTCCCCAGGAGTATCAGTGCTATCCTGGAGCAAAGCACAGAACCCAGTAAGACATGAGCTAGCACAGCCTGCAAACTGGTCATGTTTGAAGCCCTAAGGCCAGGAGTCTGCAACACTTGTTTATTTATGTGTACAAATACCTGAAGGGAGGGTGTAAAGAAGATGGACAGAGCCAGGCTTTTTTCAGTGGTGTCCAGTTACAGGGCAAGAGGCAACAGGCACAAACTGAAACACAGGAGGGTCCATCTAAACATCAGAAAACACTGTGAGGGTGACTGAGCACTGGCACAGAGTGCTCAGAGAGGTTGTGGAGTCTCCATCCTTGGAGATACTCAAAAGCTGTCTGGACATGGTCCTGGATAACCTGTTCTAGGTGGCCTTCCTTGAGCAGGGGGTTGGACCAGATGACCTCCAGAGGTGCCTTCCATCGTCAACCGTTCAGTGACATTTAGGTGGGAAGAGGAATAGGTGCCTTCACAAACTGGTTTTGCTCACAAGTGCTAACAACCAGACTTGCTGAACTGCAGTCCCTTCTCACTCTGTTCCTATTAGCATCTGCGACGCTCAGTTTTCAAAGAGACAAGCCAAAAAAGTATAGGGGCTCTTACAGTATAACAAATCCAAATATTTATATTGCTAATAGTGTTTACATCTCTTTTCTGCTATGCAAGTATTTCAGTAGTACCGCACACACATTCTTTTTGAAAAGAGTAGTTCCTTGCTGTTCCCCAAATATGTCACAACAATCAGAAATTTGAACGTTATAATTTTCTTCACCTTCCAAAATTCCACTTAGATGAAACATCACTTTTGAAGACTGGAACTAATAGGTGGCAAGACAACACTGAAGGATTTTAACCACAGCAACAAGAAATATATATATGGAATAACTGTTACTTTTCTAATATGAGATCACTTCAAAGGTGCAAGAGCTTTTTGAGCTTCGGAAGCAGAAGACAGATCTAAGGCAAACCACAGGCATCTCAGTCTAATATGACTACACTGGAAATCTCTGTTCAGTGTTTCCAGAAGAACTTCGAGAAAATCTGAAGTCTTAAGTCAGCCTTAAAGCAACACATGCCCATGCCCATCCTTGACTGCACCTAGTTAATCTCCATCCAGCACAGAGACAAGGACATACAGGATTTAAAAAGAATGAAAGAATGAAAAAAGTTAGATTTGGCTATTTGACCGCAAGCAAATATGCGCTTTCTGGCCATACTGTGGCTAGATGCCAACAGAGACACTATTGTCGCACCACACCTGAGTTATCAGCCTGGCTGCAGGTACAGTGAGCTCATACTTGCTTGAAGTTAACTATGCACACCTACGTATTTTTCTTCCCATGGCATATAGGTGCTCAAAATATCATTAAGACAGCTTCAGGCTGTGTGCAGAGGCTCTCAAATACACATGTAGATACTTGCTTCTAAGACATGGGTAAAAGATACGGAGGTACCGCACATTCCTCATACATTAACCTAATGGCTGAATACACCCAGGAGGTAGAAAAACAAGGCTCAGTTTCCTCTTTGCTACAGGATGCAGAAAACATTCCCAATCAGTAGTACTGTAACAGAGAAACAGCCAGAAAGGTGATGCGGGCCAACCAGGCTGTTTTAAAGGCAACGGAAGATCAGAGCCCATGACTCTTCCATCACAAAGCCACTGACATCCTGTGTGAGGAAGCACTGTCCCTACCATCCACACGTATAAGGCTTACTACGGAAGATGCATACAAACCTTATACACACTCCAGGTGTAAGACAGCACCAGTACGTCGGTATCTAGCACAGGTAAGTTTCTAACTGTGTACAGACACCTACACACAGGCACTTTCCTAGTTGCTCCTTGGAGAAAGAACTGTTCAAGACTGGGCTGTCTGCCCACATAGCTGCCTTCCTGAGAAGAACTCAAGGGCAGACACAAAAGAAACTACTTGCTGCCACTGACCATTCATGTAATCTGGTCCCAGCAACCTCCTTTCCTGGAGAACAGATGGATGTATGGACATGCCATGCGATGCACATGCAGTGAAGCCACTGCAGCTGGAGAAGAGCTGCTAAGCTCCAGGGGAAGATGGCATCAGGATGATGCTGTCAAAACAATTCATCTGGCTCTGTTGTGAGGATCCCCCAGGAGCACTCTCAATGGACTGTCCTGCCAGACCACAAGTTGACTGTGCTGTTACAGAGTATTCTGCACAAGGAGCACCATAAGGCTCTTCTGCAGAATCTGCTGCACTGGAAAAATATGAATAAAAGATTCAGCGGCCTACAGAAGAAGAAGCAGCTAGGCTGCAGCTTAATTGCAAAATGTTCAAAGAAGCCTGGGAGTAAAGGATGGTTACTGCTATATCACAGGCCATGATGTACAGAACACATGGCATTCAGGTGTAACAAGAGAGAGCATGGGTCACCTCCAAAACCAGACTTGGTTACTCTGGCACGCAGGGTTTGAGGCAGTTCAAACCCTATTTGAAACAGCTATTGCAGTTCTTAGATTCCAAAACACAATGCTTGTACCTTCAGCAAGATAAACTGAAAGAAACACAATAGAGGGAATAAACGGCTTCTGGACATCTGTCAGTTTGGCCTCCAAGCATCTGAAATCACAGGAGGTGCCTCCCCGTGTGGCAGGGGACACTCCAGAGGGCCTACCCTGGCTCTAAGCTTTCCTTACTCATGCGAGGACCCCTTTGCCAGGCCCCCACGCCGGGGACCGCAGCTGCTCCAGGCTCCCACCAGGCTTCTCCCCGCACAGCGCGGGACCAGGCTG